CAATACTTGCATTTCTCTAATCCAATACTTCCGCTTCAAGTTTTCCAATGTTTCAAAAATTTTATTGCCCTGAAATATACTATATGGACCTCATTCTCAAACGTAATTTTCTCCCACTTTGAGATGATGGTAGAGGCTCGCTCATTTCCTGGTTCTGACCTTTGTTACAATCTTGGCTATTTGAACTTTAATCCTGAGATAATAAAATATATTAATATTCCCTCTTCTATAACTTATCAGAGTAAGCATTCTAATTTCATTGGTGCTATAGTTTGATGTTGAATGGTCCCCAAAGGCGCATGTGTTAAAGACTTCTTCTCCAGGGTGGCAGTGGCAGTGTTGGGAACTGGTAGAACCTTTAAGAAGTGGGATCTAGTGGAAGGTCTTTAGATCATTGAGGACAAGCCTTTGAAGGGGATAATGAGATTCTGGTTCTGTCCTTGTTCTCTTTTGCTTCCTGTTGATGGGGTGGGCAGTTTAATTCTACTATGATCTCCCAACATGATGTACTGCCTTGGCACAGGCCCCCAAAACAACAGACAAGTATCATAAACTAGAATCTCCACCTACATTTATTTATTAACTTACTATTTCAAATAGTGAAATGATTAACATGATCATTCAGGTATTTCTTTGGTATGTAGATTTTATTTTCTGTGAATGTGTACAAAATACTGGGATTGTTGGATCATATGGTATACCTGTGTAAGTTCTTTTTTTTTTTTGCCTTAGAAGAAGTGAATTTATTGAAGGTAACCTCCTGTTTAGTTTCCTTACATTTTCTTTAGAAAAAAGAAAAACAGCAAACCTGTATTGGATTCTGAAGTATTAGGGCTATTTTATTTTTAAAGGAACTTCCATACTGTTCTCAATAAAGGCTATACTAATTTACATTCATAGCTGCAATGTATGAGAGTTCCTTTTCCTCCACATCCTCACTAGCATTTGTTTTTTCTTTTTAGATAACAGCAATTTTAATTGGAGTACGATGATGTCTCACTGTAGTTTTGATTTGTACTTTACTGATGGCTAATAATATTGAACATTTTTTCAAAATATCTATGGGCCACATTGTTAAATTATTTTCAGAATACTCCTGAAACATTCTTGGATGAAAACTTCCTAAATTTGATGAAAGACAAATATCCAAGATCTTCTTCCCCTTTCACTCTCTATTCTCTTTCTGTAAATCCTACAATGCATGTGTTGGTCTGCTGGATGATGTCACACATGTCCCTTATTTTTTTTCTTTAATATTTTTTTCTTTCTGTTCCTCCAGGATTTGCATGTTTTTGAATTGTGTTTCTTTAATTTTTTGAGTTTTTGCTTCTTATAAACTACTTTTGTGACAAAGTTCACCCAGAAGTATAAGCCTAAGGTCTCCTTATGTCTTTTATGAATCTGTGCGTTTCTCTGGGCATACGCCTACACTTTGTAATTCTTCCCAGTTTCTTTTGAATGTTCCAGTCCTGACTGTCTGATACTCAAAAAGTAAAAAGAGAAAAATGAAGAGGTAAAACACTTTTAAATGTCCTGGATTTCACTACAGGTGGAGGAAAAGGTGGATTTACAACCACAGGGGAAGGTACAATAACCAACTACCTCATTGTCTGCACCTCTGTGATCAGAGGCAGCAATCAGTTATTAGAACACAGACACCTCAATGTTTGAAGGATAAAGTCCTTTTTGCCCACCTGACTTCCACAAGCTATGTTCAGGCTGCTCTAGAAACATAACATTGTTTGGGTGGGGAGTTAGATTGCTGGTGCTTCCTATTCCACCATCTCCCAGAATCCTCCAAATGAATATATTTTTAAAAGTCTAAAGAAGTTCCATTGGTATTTCTAAAAAATAGAATACTGGTTTAAGCTGAAGAAATGTGATCAGAGCTGAACATTTAGATCAGCTTAGGTCTTCTTGGAAGGATTTTGTATGTCCTTCCAAATAGTGTCTAGCAACAGGGTTGTTACTGGTTTATGACTTATTTTGGTTTTCTTTCTTCCTCCACAGAGAAGGTGATGGTGGCTGTTCCCAAGGGGCATTTGGTGGCTAGAGTAGGAGGACAGGCTGCTCNTTAGTGTTGGCTTTCTAGTTGTGAATTCTTTTGATTTTAGTTTATCATGGAAGGTTTTAATTTTATCTTCAAGTATGAAACTTAATTTTGCTGGATATAAAATTCTTAGTTGGCATCCATTTTCTTTCAAAGTTTGAATTATTCCAGGACCTCCTAGCTTTGAAGGGCTGGGTTAAGAAATCAGTTGAGATTCTAATTGGTTTTCCCCTATACATAATTGTTGGTTTTTTTCTTCTCATGGCCGTTAAAATTTTATCTTTATTCTCTGTGTTAGTTATTCTCATTATAATGTGTCCTGGTGTGGCTCTGCTGTCATTTTGTACATTTGGGGTCCTGAAAGCCTCTTGTACTTGATTTTTCCATTCCATTCTTTAGGTTTGGGAAATTTCTGCTATTATATCACTGAAAAGATTGTGCATTCCTTTGGTTTGTTTCTCTTCTCTTTCATCTATTCTGATAACTTTTAAATTTGTTCTTTTTCATGTTATCCCATAATTCTTGGATGTTCTGTTTATGATTTCTTACCATCTTCTCTGCATGGTCAATTCTGCTTTCAAGATTATATAAGTTGTCTTCATTGCCTGAGGTTCTGTCTTCCAAGTGGCCTAGTCTGTTGGTGATGCTTTCTATTGAATTTATAATTTGGTTTACTTATTCTCTCTTTTCAAGAATTTCTGCTTAGTTTTTTTTTTCTCACAATCTCTGTTTATTCAAGTGATCTTTCACTTTCTGTATTTTCTCTTTGATTTCACTCCTTATGCTGTCCTTTACTTCACATATCCATTTAACTATGTACAATCTGAACTCCTTCTTGAACATTTATTCTCTTGTGTTATCAGTGGCTTTTGTTGTTGAAGCATCTTGATTTGTTTGGGGCACTTTATTGTTCATGTGTTTTCCCATCTAGGAGTATGGATCTAAGATAGCACAAATTCTACCCTGTAGACCTATAGTGTCCCTGAAGGTTCCAGCACCTCACTTTTAATGGTGGGACCAATAACAATAGCACCGAGTATAAAAAGTATATAGCCTTAAACCTAATATTTCCCACTAAAGTGTCTGCTGTTTTCTCACATTAAACCACAATGATGAGTTCAATAACTATTTGTGGTGTAAACAGAAAATTGGCAAGAACAGTTTACAATTTCAATTTGTGGACAAAAGACCAGAACTAGTATTGAAGGTGATGCTTACGAGGGAGGAAGAGAGAAGCTAGTAGCAAAAATTCACAGGAAGAGTGAAAGAGGATCTGACAGAGATTGGCTCTTGGTTGGAGAAAAGTTGGAAAGAAAATCCCAGGAAACAGACAAGTGAGAGGAAGAATACAAACAAAGAGAAAAAAATTAAAGACATAAGAATACAACAAAATGCAAAACACCATTCCTGTATCATTGTCTTCCACACACTGATGCATAAAAACACCCTGCTCCAAAAATGGTAGATATATTAGCAAGTTGAAATATAAAATAAAATGAAATAAATCTCAATGGAAAATTGAACTATCTCTGTCAGCATTCTAAAGTTTCTCGGCCCTGTCTCTGATGTCTCTCAGGATCACCAGGCCCAGATCAGCCCTCAGAGACCCAGTCACTATCCCATAAATCTGGGCTTCAGATACCTCAGGCTTGGGCACGCTGCAGTCCTAAGATCTCAATGCTGCTCCTACTTGCATAGAGACCACCAGGGATACACTCATGTAAAGGAGTAATTCTGAAATGCAGCAGCAAAACAAGGACCATAAGCACTCCCAGCAGGAAGACCCCAGGTACATTCATACCAGAAGGCACCCCCACACTGGGCCTGCAAGTCCCAGACAGAGTCCCCAGACAAAGAATCTTGTGATGGTAAATCTGCTAGCACCTTGGCCCTGGCCCCAGACAGCATCCCCAAATGGGTTGTAGCCACATGCAACCAAACCTGGAGTCTCCTCCACAGCAGACCTCTAGGCAGTGGTAGCAGTAGTAGTGGCTGTGGTTGGTGGCAGCAGGCAGTGGATCAGCAGCAGCAGTAGTGAAACAGTGTCAGCAGTGGCTGCACCAGTGGCTGCAACTGCAGTTGTGGGAGCAGCATCACCAGGTGATCTCTGAGGAGCAGCAGTGGTGTTGGCATCAGTTGTGTCGGGGGCGGAAGTGTCCGTGGTGGCAGAAGTGGATGGCTGCAGATGTATGGGCAGCAGCACCCAGAAAGAAGACCTCCAGGCAACCTCAGGTTGGCAGCAGCGGTATCAGAGGCAGCAGCATTGGTGGCAGTAGTGGAAATGGCAGGTGATTGGAGAAGAGACCTCTGGGCATCAGCGGCATCGACCTCAGAGGTAACATTGGGGGTATCAGTGGCAGTGCCCAGAGAAAAGACCTCTAGGCATGGCAGCAGGTCTGAGGCAGCGACATCCATGGCCCATAATGTGTTTTTGAATGAAGTTTGCCAATATTTTATTAAGAATTTTTGGATCTATGTTGATCAGGGATATTTGAAGTTTTCTTTTTTGTCTTTGCCTGGTATCAGTTATACTAGCTTCATAGGATGATTTTAGCAGTGTTCCCTCCTTTTCTATTTCATAGACTAATCTGATATAGATTGACATTAGTTCTTCTTTAAAAGTCTGGTAGAATTCAGCTCAGACTCCATCTGGTCCTAGGCTTTCTGAAATTTCATCTATTTAAGAGTTCTACATATTTGTGATTTTATTTGAATACATCATATGAATTTAGATTTATTTATTTAGCTTTTACTAACATTTAAGAAGGAGAAAAGGAAAAGGTAACTATCAAAATAGAGGATAAGTGCCTTAAAATAGCTGAGAGATGCACAGATAAAGAAGCCATTATTGCCTTTATCTGAAACTTGGAACAACTAAAGTCTGTTGCCTTTTTGGTACCAGTTGACAGCCACGGAGTTGCTCAGTCCAAAATATCTTCCAATTATTATCATGGTGAAGGTCATAATTCTTAAAATTCAGTTCACTGTTTTTAATATTACTACTTTGTCCAATCTGAGAACACTGATAAAATGTAAGGGATGTCCTATTTCAGTAAAGACATACAAAATTACTGGCATTTTAGTAAAAAAGAAAGTGATTTATTTTAAAGTGGTACATTTTAAAATTCCACTTTTATACACAAAAGTGGGATTCATTGTGATGTGGGCATGTGTATACTTATTAATTTCAGTCTTCCCTTCCTCCCCTTTCCCATTTCTCCTTCCTCCCCATCACTTCCCTTCTTCTACTCCACTATTCTCTCTTCTATTTTAATGAGATTCTTCCTCCTTTTATAAGGTTCTTATTTCTCTCTAGCTTCTGAATGTAAGAGAAATCATTCAACCCTGATCTTTTTGAGTTCA